CTCTCTCTCTCTCTCTCTCTCTCACACACACACACACACACACGCACACGCACACACACATTCACACACACATTCACACACATACACACACACACGCACATGCACGCACATGCACACACATACACATGGAGACTCAAACAATTGGAGAAAGACAAATAAGCTATCTGCATTCAAAAGTAAATTGAAATGTTGTTCATGATGTGTAAAGTAATAATACTGTATGCGTGGAAACTGAAAGATGTCATAACTTTGGTCAGCTGTTCAGCTGTACTATGCCCAAAGGTTTGAAAATTTATCTAACTGAGTTTCTTAATCTGTGGTATTGGTTCCTTGTACTCAAAAAATACAGGGTGATCCAAAAAAAAAAGTAAAACTTTTTTTCTGAATATCTCGCACAAAAATTGTTCTAGAATGCTGTAATTTGGAATAGACATAATTCATTCAAAAGGAATTTGTTTGACATAAAATCCAATAAAAAAAGAAACTTGTTTGGAAAACGGAAACGGGTTAAAGAAAAAAGCACCCAAAAACGCAAAGTTCACCAATTTTTTAAAATCTTGTAAAGAAAGTCGTGAAAAGATTGGTTGACTTTTTCTTTATTTTCTCTTTGACAGATAATTTTCCATCACTGTGACCTTTAAACAATATTTAATTTCTTTTACAGGTTGAAAAAATCTAATGATTTCATTCTGAAATTCCTAGAAGCAGTGCTCCACATTCCCTCCTTTGGACTCAACACATTTTTAACGCGTCTTTCGAAATGTTCAATGGTGCCCCAGCACAAGGACCTTCTAAACCATGAATGTTTAAAGCAACATACATTGGACATATTCACTATGAAGTGGCTTCTTGAGACACTAGAGTGGGGGGCCCAATAGACAGCATTTTTGGAGTTAACATATCCCACAGGGTGAAAATGGGCTTTGCACTAAACCAAATGTCATCAAGGAAATGATCCCTCTTTTCAAGACAATCGAGGAATCATGAACACATTGCCATGCTCTGATCCATGTCATCTCGACGTAACGAAGATGAAAATGGTACCGTTGTAGGTTAAGATCTGCCATGAGAATGCAGACTGTTGAGGTGTAGGAAAGTCCAAGCTGCAGATCGTCTACGGACAGACGTCTCATGGGACTCGACTACTGAAATCTGTACCTTTGTGACGTTTAAAGGGTTGTGCATGGTGCGTGTTCAACCTGAAGTGGTCATTTTTTCAGGAAATTTTTAGCTCTGGTTCGCTATAGATCCAAACTGATGAAACTTCTCTACTCATGACGCCAAAGGTCTTGAAGGCACCTAAGCATTCTCACCATGCCGAACTTACGAAATATAAGGGATGGTGAGTTTGTGGAGAGGTAATGTCTATACAAAAAGCTCTCTGCTCTTTACTAAACGTAACCATAATCTCAGTAGGCAAACGAAATTTGGGAAAAATAATATCTGCAGATTTCTGTTTACGCCTTAGACTGCTGTAGTTTGCAATATGGCGCGATTGTTGCAACTTTTAGTGGTAGGCCTAATGCGAATTGGTGCGTCATGCAATGAAAATGGCGACTAGGTTGCAAATGGGTTGGGTTTTTTTAATGCGCCATATAGAGCAAGACCATTCAATGGGCTTATCTAAAATACATATCAGACAAATTCCTTTTGGCTTCCAAATGTTATTCTCAAATCTGAAATGCAAAACCTCAGTATGGAGGAAGATATTTACAAAACAAGTTGTTCAGGGTTTTTTTGGGATCACCCTGTATTTTGTTTAAATTCAAATTGTAAATGTAAAAAAAAATGCAAGAAAAGACACATAATGTAGGTTCAAATCTTAAAAGAATTTTAACGTTTTTTTCTCTCTCCTGAAAGATTTTTCTTTTGGGGCTCAGAGCATTTGAACAGTTTGCAGATGATAATTGATTTTGGGTACAAAATCCTTGTCCTGGTATCACATCTGTTGCATATATTATTATTGCCAATTTGTGCTCATAGCAAAGGGGAATAGAAAATCTAAAAAATTAACATGTTGTATGTCTCAATTCACTGTAATGTAACATTGAGTAGTCAGAATAATGGTCGCTTTTACATGGTTGTGTAATGGCAAAGACTTCTTTTACCAAGTAGCTTCACATGGAAAGAGTGTTTTGTAACGTCATAGGTTCATAAAACTGACATGTGATATCTCAAGATAAGTGGGTAGATTCTAATGAGCTTGCAAGGGTAAGTTGCTGGTTGTTGTTGTTTCAATTCAGTGGGCTTGCTATAACTGGTTTTGTGAAAATTGGCACATTTACACTTAAGGTGATTTTTGATGGCCCATCTTTATCTAAAGTAGCCTACCGTCTGTGCATATGTGTGATGCTATGTTTGTAGTTTTATCTCGTTTTTGCTAGTTGAAAAGTTATGATGTATGCTGTGGGTCAAAATGCAGAAGAGAAATGGATAACTGACCTTAATACTTTGCTTGATAACCTCAAAGAGAATGACGGTTAACCTGGGGCTGTTCTTTTAATCAGTTTTGTGTGGACTCATGCATATTACATGTGCTCACCTGCTTGTCTTTTTTATGTTTAATTTATATCAACGGTTGGATGTGATGTAACCATTGCTCAATATCTTTGAATGAATCAAGTTTTAATAAATACATAGTTCTGTACAATAGGAGTAGTGTAAAAAAACCAACCTCATCACTCCTAGGAGAGCTATAAATACTCCACTGTGAGTTCTTGCTTAAGGTATCTTATGCTTATCATTTCTTTCTGACTTTGTTTGGAAAAGTTACCGTGAAGAAAAATCTTTGTGTTGTTTGTTCGGAATGTTTCATTGTTGTGTAACAGTCTTGGCAGACTAGCTGTTGATAGGGTTACATTGTTGGCATGTGCGTACTGTTGAGGTTATTCTCGTTGCAGCTTTCAAAGCTGAAGTGTAAGTCTAGCCAAAATGGTTTTTATGGAATTGATTTTTTATGTGTGAATACATTTTAACTGCAAAGTTCTTGGAAGCCTTGAATGAATTGTAGCTGGGTGCCTTTAGTTCAAACTTGACTGTTTCTCTGTGCATTGTGTGGCCATGTTGATGTTTTGTTTGCCAATTTATGATTGTGATATAATTTACAGAGGAACTTCTCATATTACAATGTCATCATGCCTTTCCTTTCCCTTTCAACCCTTGGACTTTCCCAATTCTTGTTTTTGTTCTCCTGTGTGAAAAATTTTCATCAGAATCTTGTCAGATCATGACACCATGATTGGGAGGGGCCAGTGAATGAGACATCCTGTAATTGGTGGGAACACTGCTTGTACTTTATGCTTGTTTAGACAAACATTCTGTGCCATAGTCTACTTTAAGGCTCAGACGGTAAGTGACTAGTACTTGGTTGTGATCTAAGGCTGGTTTATTTATAGTGGACCACAGGATGAATGTGAAGTTAATTTAATATGGAACGTATCGTGTCAGATTGCTGAGAAATTTTCTTATGAAATGAGATCATACTATTGACCTGTGAGATTAGTGGACAGCATACTGCCTTTACAGCAAGAAAAATGAAGATTTCTGTCTCACTCTGTGTTACAGGGTGAGTCGAAAGCATTTGAGTTTGACATATACGTCGTCATCGTGCTGGGCAGTATCAGATCGGGTAGCTGCTTCGTTGTTTCTTTTATCGTGTCATGGTTACAGAATTATGCCAATGATATTAGGATTGTTAAAAGGTCCTGTTTTATGTGTTGCCTCATGTGAGTCTGTCTTTGTATCTTTTTCAAATTATTAAGACCTTTTTAGATTTGCCCTTTAATGGAAAAAATGATGAACTGGAAACAGGAAAGTGCAATACAATAGAAGTAAAAATCTGAGAAATATTTGTTGGGACCTCTAAAAATAAAAGATTCATTATTATAATAATTCTAATACATTAATAATAATGATGATTAGAATGATAGTAATAATAATAATAATAATATTATTATTATTTTTATTATTATTATTATTATTATTATTATTATTATTATTATTATTATTATTATTATTATTGTACATTTATAAGATGTCCTTTTCACCCACCTTTTACAATGTGAATGCAAACATTTTTGTCATCAAGGCGCTTTACCAAATTTTTTTTTTTGGTTTGAATTCGAATGCAAATTTTCCCCCTCAAACTCTGATAGTATGGTTATGCTTCAGTCTTGTTTAGATCTGTTTTATGTACCGGTATCGCGTTGTCTGTGTCAACCACACTTCTAGCTTTGCTTTCAGCTTGTAGAACATTCCACTTTCAGCGTTGTGTGCATTAGGAAAGGCTGGTTTTATTCCAAGAAACCATTTGCCAGAGAGACGGTTGACATTTGTCGCAAGCGACATATTAGTCAGTGTGTTAACTGCTAGCAGGTGGACTGAGCCTTCCATCTTTGCCGTTTTTCTTGAAACA